TCAGACATATTTTTTAATACAGTTTCCTTGTAAAAGTCACAAAAAAATTGAATTTTTGTATGGGAGCAATGCCTGTATGATACTTTAATGACGTGAAACTTTGCACAGACTATTTTTTACACAAAATAATAACATTCTGAAAGTTTGAAGAGATTTCGATCAAAGTTAGGGGTACCTTCCATACAAAATTTTAAATTTTTGGCTTAAAAACGAATATTTTGTATGAAAGGTACCCTTAATTTTGGTTGAAATTTCTCCAAACCCTACGAATGTTATTTTTTTGTGAAAAAATAACCTGTGCAAAGTTTCACACCATTAATATAGCATACAGACATGGCTCCCATACAAAGATCCAAATTTTTTGTGACTTTAGTTATGGAAAGTGTTTCAAAAATAATTTTTATGGCAAAATTAACGTCAGACATATTTTTTATAGTATTTTGTTAGAAAATAGAATACTTTCAAATGTCGTACAAATGGGTTCATCATGAAAGTGTGAAAAATCTTTTCTCGGGTACTTCTGCTATTAAATTAAAAAATATTTCGTTGCCAAAGTTGAAACATATTTTTTGGTTTCGAACTTTACGACGCTTGAAAGGCTTGAAAAATCGAACAAATATTATTTTGAACTTTCTTAATAAAATATGCAACTACCACAGTGCGGAAAAGTTCGTCTTACTCCCGTAAGACTTTTTATTTCATGCGGTCTTCATACAACCGGTTAGTAAATCTATCTCCATTTTTATTCCATTATCTGATTTTAATTCGTGTCAATCATTCACAGCATCGAGGAAACTTATGATATATTCAAAATCAACTCCATGATAGAAAACAAGATCAACGTTAGTCCAGATTCGAACATGTTGACAACATGTGGATTTCCGACAGTAGGCTCAACTCCAAGCTATGACCAAAACTTTATTAAACCAGAAATCAATGGACCAGTCGAAATCAGCGACACAAGCGATGAAGAGGATCTGACAGAAATGAAACTGGAATTACCGTCTCCCATTCTAGACGATGATTACGACATACCACCTGAATGGGACGTAATGGAAGCTGACGATGACATTCCGGAGATTGATAACGAATTATATCACGCCAGAGAGAAGACGAATAAGCGCACATCCACTGCCGTGTCAAACTTCGAAGATGGTACCAAAGGTAACAACATGGCAGGAACACCAATGGAATGCGCAAGAAAACGTGCATTAGGTTCGATTGCAAAAAATGCACCGAATAAAAAGTCAAATTCCTCAAAACCAATGGGAACGAAGAAGCGATTCCAGTGCGAACTTTGTGCATATTCCAGCAATTATAAGGCTGACCTGAAGAAACACACCCGTACTCATACTGGCGAGAAGCCGTATCGATGTGATATTTGCCGCAAAGAATTTACGCAGTTGCATAACATGAAAAAGCACAAAGTGACTCACGTCAATGAATTTCCATTCCATTGCCGAGGATGTTTCGATGGATTTTCCCAGAAGACCGAAAAAGATGCTCACGAAAAAGTGTGCAAAGCACGCCGATATGAATGCCATGTCTGCAAGAAGTTTGTCACTGCGTATAAAAATCAGTTGAAAATGCACATGCGGAAGCACAACGGCAAAAAACCGTTTCGATGCGAGATTTGTATGAAGCGTTTTACACAGAAAGGAAGTTTGAAAACACATTTGGCCACCATCCATGGCAGCAATTATTGAAGATTTTTCTTTTAAAAACATTCTCAACATTCGTATCATTAAACTTTTCATTTTCAAATATTCAACTCAATTTATAAGGAAAGCATAGTAGAAACTAAATGCCAATCGAATAATCAGACTATTATAATCTAGCCAAAATTTGATTCAATACTAATGTGAAGACTTAATCAGTTAAGTTCAACGTTATCAATGTTAAAATGTGAAACATTGTTTAAGCTGAAAATATTCAATAACATAGCTTATTAAAATGTTCATTCGAAATGCCACTATGTCAAATGTTCAAATAAAGCAATTTTGATGAAGTTATAGACTCGTTAACTGTATGAATTTCCAATGGATAACAATAAATATCGATTATGATTCAATTAAAATTCAAATTCCTTCCGTCAATCGGCGCAAGTGATTTCGCTATTCCTACTGCAGCGAATACGGTTTGACAGCTTGTTCGCCTTAATTGACACCATTCTTTGTATTTCATACATTCGTGGCTCAACATATTTCAATCTGAAAGCATCAAGTAAAGAAATAAAATTATATTTTCATCGAATTAATACTTCATTGACTTGAATTCGTCACGCGAACTCTAGCTGTGTGACTATTTATCTCGATCTGTGGTCTGATAGTACATGATTTCCTTCATTATTGCAAGAATCAACCAATCTTTTAATTTTTATTCGCTATATTCCAATTTAGTGAAAAATCTGAAAATGCTGAGCTGGGGTGACGAGATGAACCAAATGCTTACTGCATTCGAATACCAAGCGAAATTTTCTCTGGCCAATATCAAACAGGCCCTCAAACGCAATGGTTTCACGTTCAATGCTGCCTTCAAGCAATATTTTTTGCGTGTTTCGTATGATCGGTGAGTAAAAACAATATCCGCAGTTTTGCAATAATAATTCAGTATTGATAATTGTGTGCAGGATTAAGAATACGTACGATGAATTCGAAATAAAGTCAATGTTCGAAGATGAGAGCACGCCAGCAACCGACGAATATCCGAATTCATTTCACACTTCGAGTCAAGCCATGAACAATACACAACCAACAACCAATGAACCATTTGAAATCATTGACACGAGCGACGAAGAGGATGAAGCACCGAAAATGCAACGCGCCATTCGATACGATGGCCATGGCATATCAAATGAATCAAACGATTATGGTCAATTGGACGACGATGGAAGCTACACCGAAATGTCGGACATGAAATCAAACGTGTTCTATTATCAAGGAGATGTTTCGAGTAACAGAGATGGGGATCGCATTGGAAATGGAATGGACAACGCAATGAAGGCGGTCGAAATGGAACGGGACGATAGCATTCCGATAGTTGGCATCACTATGGACACAACGATCCAAAACACATCAACTGTGAAATTGAACAATGACTCAAACAACATGACAGGAAGATCAAATGGACGTCCAAGCAAACAAACTGAATCATTGCGACGTAAAAACTCAACTTCGTCAAACCAAATGGGAACGAAGAAACGATTCCAGTGCCAACTTTGTGAATATTCCAGCAATCAAAAGGGAAACTTCAATGTTCACATGCGTACTCACACCGGTGAGAAACCGTATCGATGTGATAATTGCCACAAAGAATTCGCAAGAATGGAACATTTGAAGAGGCACAAAGTGTCTCACACTGACCAAATTCCGTTCCATTGTCGTGGCTGTTTCAAAGGATTTTCCCAGAAGACCGAAAAAGATGGCCATGAAAAAATGTGCAAATTACGTCGATACGAATGTCATATTTGCAAGAAGTTTGTCACAGTCAACAAGTGTGATTTGAAAATTCATATGCAACAGCATACTGGTGCAAAACCGTTTCGATGCGAGGTTTGTATGAAGTGCTTTAAGCGAAAAGAGCATCTGAAGAAGCATTTGGACCAAATGCACACTAGAAAAAATCCATAATAAGTTCAATCCTTCAATACAATCCCTTATATGGCAGCAGACCAACTCTTTCGAGCAAACCAACAACATGTCAAAACATTTAATTTCTTATTAAGTTAAATCAACTCACAATCTATTCTACAGTTTTTCTCTGAATTTTTCAATAAATAATAATTGAATTCAAAAATTCAATTTGAATGCATTTTTATTTCATTGGCGGGAAACCAATTTGAATTCACTGATTGAAATTATTGTCGGTGAAAGATATTCAGTAAAAGTATGAGCAGCGAATTGAATTCGTCCCAAAGCATTTCAACGTGGCGAAATTCCATTTTGACAAGTTCTTGAAAATGATAAAGTTGTAGCACATCACACATAACCTTATGCAACGCATGTATTTAATTCCATGTACTTCGTACGGTATTAGGTAATCAAAAAGCAATTTAAGACTCAACACCAGAAAATATCGTGAATATATTTAAAGTGCTTTTGAATTTTCTTTGAAGAAGTTCAATTCGAGAAAAACATTGGAATAAAATTCAAGTTTTTCATTGATTTGTTCGAAGATTGAAGGAAAAGGTAAGAGTTCTAGTCAGTTCTAGTAGTATAGAACACCTCTGGATTAGTTCATGAGATAACATGTCCAGACTTAACGGCAGTTTTTTCGTATAATTTGTTACTCAATCAAGTCATGGTTAAATTAAAAGATAATTATTTTAATTCAGACCACTAGATGAGCAATGGGCTGGATGGACGAGATGAATAATATGCTGGCCGTATTCGATCGCCAGACCATATTGTCATTGGGAAAAATTAAAACGGAACTTGGACACTGCGGATTATCGTTCAACGAAGAGTTCAAAAAATATTTTCTGGATTCTTCATATAATCGGTGAGTAAAATTATAAACATTTTCAACCATGAAGTTTTTATGAATTCATTTCTGATTAATTGTGTGCAGGATCAAGCTTACGTATAATCAATTCGAAGTTGATTCAATGTTTGAGGGGCAAATTGACTCAACAGCAGATGGAAGCCAAATAGGAAACTCAAGTCAAACTTATAGTTCGGTGGAAATCGTCAACTCAAACGTTGAAGCTAGCGTTGAAGCTAGTGTTGAAGACGATAGTTCAATGGATCAAAATAAACAGGAACCATCAGAGACCATAGATGATTTTCAGAACAATATTACTGACAATGAGTCAGTACTTAGTAATATTGACACAACCCCAAAATTGGACGATTTTGGAACGGCGCAAGAGATGGACGATCGCATTCCGGTGACTGACGATAATGGTAATGACGATAATGGCATAGCAAATTCGCCAAGCGAAGGGCCAAGCAGTGAAACTGAAACCAATGAAATCCCTAAGATTTATCGGCCACCAAAGTCCGAAGTTATACCACGCAAAACACCATATTATCCCCAAATAGACGATGAAGTAGCTTATTTCCGTCAGGGTCATGAATATTATCTTAATGCTGTGCGACAGAATAATATTTACCAAAATGTTGACGCCAAACCATGGTCCCGATTGGATTTGCGAGATTATGAATTTCTTAAGGTGATTGAAATCAAATATGAAACACGGCCGCCACGTCTTTGTTGCTTAAAAGTGGCACTGATGAACAATGATGGAACGTTGAAAAATCAACGATTCACCATAAAATATCATGACATGCCCGGTGTTTTGGATTTCCTTGTATTGAAACAGACATATGTTAAGGCCCTGATTCACATGTGGGCAACAGGCGATCGTTTTCGTTGTATGATCGACAATGTTTGGTGGATGGGTCAAATTATAAGTCGTGTGCCATACTCGGAAGAATTTCCCGATTCGTTGTTCATGTGTTTCAAAATTCGTTGGGATAGTGGCAAGCTGCAGCGAATGAGCCCATGGGATATGGAGCCAATTGATAACAGTCGATTGCCAAATGAAGTTGGTGGTGGTGTTCCAGTTTTAGCCGAAGAATTAAAAATGATACTTTATCAACCGAGTGGCGACCGAGATGGAATCTGTTGTCGCATTCTTGCCGCCCTTGAAGACGTGATGCGCTTAGAAATAGCCAAACCATTTTTGACACCGGTTGATTTAAACATTTATCCAACGTACGCATTTATCGTTGAATATCCAATCGATTTGACTACAATCAAAGCACGATTCGAAAATCGTTTTTATCGACGCATTGCAGCCGCACAATTTGACATTCGATATTTGGCCACGAATGCCGAACGATTCTATAAAAGTGACAACCACATCGTTCAAAATGCACGAATCATCACCGACCTATGTTTACGAATTTTGGAGTAGGTTTTACCACCCATTCAGTGAATTTTAATTTAAATTTAATCACTCGATTTTAATGCCATTTTTAGGTACCCAGATTTGGATGTGAATGCGATATACCATCAACTAATGGCTAGTTATAAAACTGAAGTGATTGACACACTGAAAGGTGAGACACCGTCAACTAGTACTGACCGGCCGATGCGTGCTCGACAATTGAACCATGCGCCGAATGGTGTTACATCATCGCAAATGAAGACAGCTCAAGTGGTTATCGCAATAAACGACCTGGTCGGTTTGGAAATGACTCTGAAAACTATGATCCAAACAAATCGAACGATTCTGATACTCCGTTGCGGCAGCCAAAACGTGATCAAGATGAGGACAATTCGGTGCAATCAACGGTAACTGAATCACAGACACTGAACCGACCAAGCGGATATTCGACACGAGATTCCGGCGTGAGCCAAAGAACGAAAGAACGGTCCATTCGAAGCTGCCGATCACGTAAACGGCCACATTATAATGAGGATTCCGAAGAAGATGACAGCGAACGAACAAAACGACACGTAACACAGGGCCGGTATGTATTTTGAAAAATATGCGTTATATTAAACGTCCAAATTGTATTCATGAAGTTTTTTCTCCGTTAATACACATATGGGGTAGTTCGGGCAATCGTAAACCGCAGTGTACGGTGAACAAAGTATGTTTCGAAGATTATACATCAAACAATGATGGTGATGAAGAAGCGGAACAGCAAATCAGTATCAGTAACAGAGGGCGGGTGCGTAAAATTCCGTCAAAGATGCGTGCATATATCTGCGAATAAATCTTCATTATTACGCTAACATAATACCTTTGAAGCAATGCATATAAATAATTTTTCAAGTAGTCTGTAAGATATCTGAAAAGATTTATTCCATATATTGACGACAACAGCAACAAAATATTCAAATCGATTTTTTTACAATAAGAAGCTACGATGACTTATAATTAAACTGCCTGCGCTTGGTTTCATATAATGCAGTTTTATTTTCTCTCTTGCTCTTAATTTTTAGCGTTAATGAAGAACTTTTTTCATAAATTTTTTGCATCTAAGCAAAATAAATATTATGGGATACCCCGGAAAAAAAAACAAAATAAAAATATAAAGAATTCGTTTTTTAATCACCATATTCTCTTTTTTGACTTTTTTCTAGCAAATTCGGCATCTATTTATACGATATTAATCCGTACATCCCAAGTCAGTATAATACGCTTTTCGAAGAGTGTACACGCTCTTC